GGTAAATATACAAAAACATTCCATGAGTATAACATGATAATCATGTGATATTTAAATACCTTGGAATATACTCTGTTGGTTTCTTGGCAAGTTTGAATTGCATTTCAGCATTAAATATAAATAATTTAAATGTAAAAAAAAAATTGTAGTATATTTACTAGGTAAAACATTGCTAGAAGTACAAGAAGTGACATCAACTACTTCCTCCCATTAGGATTCTATCAATGAACTGAAACCAGACAAAAGTTCCCAGCATCTGTATCTTTATATTTTTAAGTTCCAGGATGAAAGCTGATATAAAATCTGTGTAAGGGGATTTTGTTAATCTCCTCAGCTTGGTTTTAAAAATAAATTACTTTCCAAGTGGTATTGTGTTGGTACTGTAGCCACCATATGAATCATGATCAGCTGATTAAGAATAAAAAGTTTCCTTAAACTAAGAAAATTGTATAACAATCTCAAAGTATCGCCAGAAGCATATTTCTGTGTGCAGATTTACTTGAAAAAAACCTAACAAGGCTCACGCAGTTTGGTAAAAATCCAACTAGGCTTTAGAGATAATGAAATTAATCGAGTCAGCCCCAGAAAAAAACTAGAAAGAAATCTTTAAAGCGGTCTAGTGACATCTACACTTGGATCACCCACTCCGCGTACGCAGACCGGGTCACATGTATACTTACCACAATTAAAAGTTTCCTCTGATACTTGTCCGATCGTATTGATTTCTTGTTCTTGTTTGAGCACTTGCCCACACTACAAAGAAGGCTGGGGAACACCCTCCTTCAAATTCTCCGGTGTGGTGGAGTAAGTAAATATTTATTGTTCCATTATATACTGTGTTTTTTTATCTGTTTCGAATTTGTGGCGTATGGTACTGCATGGTTTTGTATACAAGTTTAACAATTTTCTACTATTCTCATCATTTTGGGTATATATTTTCAGTACACGAACAAAATTACTTTTTCTAGAATAACAGTTTTTCACTGGGCCATTTCAAAACATTGACTTGAGTTTGGTAAATGTGTATTTGATGACTAGCATGATGGATGTTTTGTCTTATGGTGATGACTGATGTTATATAACATGATTATCATTGGTTGTGCTATGTTAATTTAATAAATACAACCTGATCAACCTCTATTAACGACCATCTGCATTAACAGACCAGTTGTAAAACTTTCCATTGGTTGCAGTTATTTTCGTATTAACTGAACTAGTATTTAAAACCACCTACAATAGGAGACCCTATTATAGACTTTGTGAAGATGGTTTTACTGTTTAAGAGATACAATAAAGAGTATTTCATTGGATATTAAAACAAGATGTTCTTGCTAACATGCTTCACGGTAAAACTCATTAGAGAGACAGGAAGGGTTCGTATTAATTTTCTAGTATGAAAGAATTTATGAACTTTAAAAAGAAAATACTTTCAGCAAATTAAAATTTAAAGGAGATGTTTCCTAATAATAAAAACTAGTTTACGTGTAATGAGGGTCTGAAGTGAAATGAACATTTCAATGCAGCAAATTGTGCCTGTCATCCTGTTCATGGGGTAAATCAGCCTCAAGGTTTATTGTATTGTTTACTTTTCTATCCAAGTGCAATATTATATTTTGATTTTGTTTTTTGATATTTCAGATTTAACTTGGACAGATCTTTCAAGGAGTATATAATAAAGTATGTGACGAGTTAGATGGCTGACAAGACTTCGCGATCAAAGTTTGACACGATGACAGTGCGGCAAAGCATCTGTTTGTTACTGTGTTTGTCATGTTGGACGGTTAGAGGTTACCCCGGGGAGGAGAAGAGGGACATGGGTACGCTGGAGGGCGACGTACAAAACTGGGCCATGCTGATTCAGAACTACATTCTACAGGTCAGTGTTTCTTTTGCCTCCTGTACCTATACTGATGGGGTTTAGTGTAAAACTATATCATGTTTTAATACAAAATCATCTGGGTTTGTATATACAGTGTGAGGTATCTCTATCTCCCATAGTCCTTTGTGTGTACTATGTATGATATCTCTATCTCCCATAGCCCTGTGTGTGTACAGTGTAGAATATCTCTATCTCCCATAGCCCTGTGTGTGTACAGTGTAGAATATCTATCTCCCATAGCCCTGTGTGTGTACAGTGTAGAATATCTCTATCTCCCATAGCCCTGTGTGTGTACAGTGTAGAATATCTATCTCCCATAGCCCTGTGTGTGTACAGTGTAGAATATCTATCTCCCATAGCCCTGTGTGTGTACAGTGTAGAATATCTATCTCCCATAGCCCTGTGTGTGTACAGTGTAGAATATCTATCTCCCATAGCCCTGTGTGTGTACAGTGTAGAATATCTATCTCCCATAGCCCTGTGTGTGTACAGTGTAGAATATCTATCTCCCATAGCCCTGTGTGTGTACAGTGTAGAATATCTATCTCCCATAGCCCTGTGTGTGTACAGTGTAGAATATCTATCTCCCATAGCCCTGTGTGTGTACAGTGTAGAATATCTATCTCCCATAGCCCTGTGTGTGTACAGTGTAGAATATCTATCTCCCATAGCCCTGTGTGTGTACAGTGTAGAATATCTATCTCCCATAGCCCTGTGTGTGTACAGTGTAGAATATCTATCTCCCATAGCCCTGTGTGTGTACAGTGTAGAATATCTATCTCCCATAGCCCTGTGTGTGTACAGTGTAGAATATCTATCTCCCATAGCCCTGTGTGTGTACAGTGTAGAATATCTATCTCCCATAGCCCTGTGTGTGTACAGTGTAGAATATCTATCTCCCATAGCCCTGTGTGTGTACAGTGTAGAATATCTATCTCCCATAGCCCTGTGTGTGTACAGTGTAGAATATCTATCTCCCATAGCCCTGTGTGTGTACAGTGTAGAATATCTATCTCCCATAGCCCTGTGTGTGTACAGTGTAGAATATCTATCTCCCATAGCCCTGTGTGTGTACAGTGTAGAATATCTATCTCCCATAGCCCTGTGTGTGTACAGTGTAGAATATCTATCTCCCATAGCCCTGTGTGTGTACAGTGTAGAATATCTATCTCCCATAGCCCTGTGTGTGTACAGTGTAGAATATCTATCTCCCATAGCCCTGTGTGTGTACAGTGTAGAATATCTATCTCCCATAGCCCTGTGTGTGTACAGTGTAGAATATCTATCTCCCATAGCCCTGTGTGTGTACAGTGTAGAATATCTATCTCCCATAGCCCTGTGTGTGTACAGTGTAGAATATCTATCTCCCATAGCCCTGTGTGTGTACAGTGTAGAATATCTATCTCCCATAGCCCTGTGTGTGTACAGTGTAGAATATCTATCTCCCATAGCCCTGTGTGTGTACAGTGTAGAATATCTATCTCCCATAGCCCTGTGTGTGTACAGTGTAGAATATCTATCTCCCATAGCCCTGTGTGTGTACAGTGTAGAATATCTATCTCCCATAGCCCTGTGTGTGTACAGTGTAGAATATCTATCTCCCATAGCCCTGTGTGTGTACAGTGTAGAATATCTATCTCCCATAGCCCTGTGTGTGTACAGTGTAGAATATCTATCTCCCATAGCCCTGTGTGTGTACAGTGTAGAATATCTATCTCCCATAGCCCTGTGTGTGTACAGTGTAGAATATCTATCTCCCATAGCCCTGTGTGTGTACAGTGTAGAATATCTATCTCCCATAGCCCTGTGTGTGTACAGTGTAGAATATCTATCTCCCATAGCCCTGTGTGTGTACAGTGTAGAATATCTATCTCCCATAGCCCTGTGTGTGTACAGTGTAGAATATCTATCTCCCATAGCCCTGTGTGTGTACAGTGTAGAATATCTATCTCCCATAGCCCTGTGTGTGTACAGTGTAGAATATCTATCTCCCATAGCCCTGTGTGTGTACAGTGTAGAATATCTATCTCCCATAGCCCTGTGTGTGTACAGTGTAGAATATCTATCTCCCATAGCCCTGTGTGTGTACAGTGTAGAATATCTATCTCCCATAGCCCTGTGTGTGTACAGTGTAGAATATCTATCTCCCATAGCCCTGTGTGTGTACAGTGTAGAATATCTATCTCCCATAGCCCTGTGTGTGTACAGTGTAGAATATCTATCTCCCATAGCCCTGTGTGTGTACAGTGTAGAATATCTATCTCCCATAGCCCTGTGTGTGTACAGTGTAGAATATCTATCTCCCATAGCCCTGTGTGTGTACAGTGTAGAATATCTATCTCCCATAGCCCTGTGTGTGTACAGTGTAGAATATCTATCTCCCATAGCCCTGTGTGTGTACAGTGTAGAATATCTATCTCCCATAGCCCTGTGTGTGTACAGTGTAGAATATCTATCTCCCATAGCCCTGTGTGTGTACAGTGTAGAATATCTATCTCCCATAGCCCTGTGTGTGTACAGTGTAGAATATCTATCTCCCATAGCCCTGTGTGTGTACAGTGTAGAATATCTATCTCCCATAGCCCTGTGTGTGTACAGTGTAGAATATCTATCTCCCATAGCCCTGTGTGTGTACAGTGTAGAATATCTATCTCCCATAGCCCTGTGTGTGTACAGTGTAGAATATCTATCTCCCATAGCCCTGTGTGTGTACAGTGTAGAATATCTATCTCCCATAGCCCTGTGTGTGTACAGTGTAGAATATCTATCTCCCATAGCCCTGTGTGTGTACAGTGTAGAATATCTATCTCCCATAGCCCTGTGTGTGTACAGTGTAGAATATCTATCTCCCATAGCCCTGTGTGTGTACAGTGTAGAATATCTATCTCCCATAGCCCTGTGTGTGTACAGTGTAGAATATCTATCTCCCATAGCCCTGTGTGTGTACAGTGTAGAATATCTATCTCCCATAGCCCTGTGTGTGTACAGTGTAGAATATCTATCTCCCATAGCCCTGTGTGTGTACAGTGTAGAATATCTATCTCCCATAGCCCTGTGTGTGTACAGTGTAGAATATCTATCTCCCATAGCCCTGTGTGTGTACAGTGTAGAATATCTATCTCCCATAGCCCTGTGTGTGTACAGTGTAGAATATCTATCTCCCATAGCCCTGTGTGTGTACAGTGTAGAATATCTATCTCCCATAGCCCTGTGTGTGTACAGTGTAGAATATCTATCTCCCATAGCCCTGTGTGTGTACAGTGTAGAATATCTATCTCCCATAGCCCTGTGTGTGTACAGTGTAGAATATCTATCTCCCATAGCCCTGTGTGTGTACAGTGTAGAATATCTATCTCCCATAGCCCTGTGTGTGTACAGTGTAGAATATCTATCTCCCATAGCCCTGTGTGTGTACAGTGTAGAATATCTATCTCCCATAGCCCTGTGTGTGTACAGTGTAGAATATCTATCTCCCATAGCCCTGTGTGTGTACAGTGTAGAATATCTATCTCCCATAGCCCTGTGTGTGTACAGTGTAGAATATCTATCTCCCATAGCCCTGTGTGTGTACAGTGTAGAATATCTATCTCCCATAGCCCTGTGTGTGTACAGTGTAGAATATCTATCTCCCATAGCCCTGTGTGTGTACAGTGTAGAATATCTATCTCCCATAGCCCTGTGTGTGTACAGTGTAGAATATCTATCTCCCATAGCCCTGTGTGTGTACAGTGTAGAATATCTATCTCCCATAGCCCTGTGTGTGTACAGTGTAGAATATCTATCTCCCATAGCCCTGTGTGTGTACAGTGTAGAATATCTATCTCCCATAGCCCTGTGTGTGTACAGTGTAGAATATCTATCTCCCATAGCCCTGTGTGTGTACAGTGTAGAATATCTATCTCCCATAGCCCTGTGTGTGTACAGTGTAGAATATCTATCTCCCATAGCCCTGTGTGTGTACAGTGTAGAATATCTATCTCCCATAGCCCTGTGTGTGTACAGTGTAGAATATCTATCTCCCATAGCCCTGTGTGTGTACAGTGTAGAATATCTATCTCCCATAGCCCTGTGTGTGTACAGTGTAGAATATCTATCTCCCATAGCCCTGTGTGTGTACAGTGTAGAATATCTATCTCCCATAGCCCTGTGTGTGTACAGTGTAGAATATCTATCTCCCATAGCCCTGTGTGTGTACAGTGTAGAATATCTATCTCCCATAGCCCTGTGTGTGTACAGTGTAGAATATCTATCTCCCATAGCCCTGTGTGTGTACAGTGTAGAATATCTATCTCCCATAGCCCTGTGTGTGTACAGTGTAGAATATCTATCTCCCATAGCCCTGTGTGTGTACAGTGTAGAATATCTATCTCCCATAGCCCTGTGTGTGTACAGTGTAGAATATCTATCTCCCATAGCCCTGTGTGTGTACAGTGTAGAATATCTATCTCCCATAGCCCTGTGTGTGTACAGTGTAGAATATCTATCTCCCATAGCCCTGTGTGTGTACAGTGTAGAATATCTATCTCCCATAGCCCTGTGTGTGTACAGTGTAGAATATCTATCTCCCATAGCCCTGTGTGTGTACAGTGTAGAATATCTATCTCCCATAGCCCTGTGTGTGTACTGTGTAGAATATCTATCTCCCATAGCCCTGTGTGTGTACTGTGTAGAATATCTCTATCTCCCATAGCCCTGTGTGTGTACTGTGTAGAATATCTCTATCTCCCATAGCCCTGTGTGTGTACTGTGTAGAATATCTATCTCCCATAGACCTGTTTGTGTACTGTGTAGAATATCTATCTTCCATAGACCTGTGTGTGTACAGTGTACGATATCTCTATCTCCCATAGCCCTGCATATGTACTGTGTAAAGTATGTGTTGGATTATTTGATATTTATTATGAACTGGATTAGCATGAAATATTGATATTTTCAAATCTAGAAAGAAATTTGATGTAATATTTGGTAAATTGATATATTAAATCCATCAATATCTAAAAACTGAATATTCAAATTGTCAGCACTGAAAATTAACACTGTTACATTGAACTCATAGTGGGTTGTGTTTCATTTAAACTTAAAATAATACATAATGTATGCCACAACCATACGAGTAAGATGAATATTTTCATGCAAATTGTATATTATACATTGAAGATCTACAATTTTTTTTTAAATCCTGAGAGTAAATGTTCTTATAATCATATTTATTTTTTAATAATCATTCTTTTATGGTTAAGTTAAAAATATTATGTGAAAAGAGAAAAAATTGAATGAGCCCAGGTTTGAGCCATTGATGTGTCATGGAAAGAGAACTGAGGTTTGATCTGGTGTGTCTATGGAAAGAGAACTGAGGTTTGATCTGGTGTGTCTATTGAAAGTGATCTGAGGTTTGATCTGGTGTGTGAGGTTTGATCTGGTGTGTCTATTGAAAGTGATCTGAGGTTTGATCTGGTGTGTCTATGGAAAAGTGAACTGAGGTTTGATCTGGTGTGTCTATGGAAAGGGAACTGAGGTTAGATCTGGTGTTTCTATTGAAAGTGAACTGAGGTTTGATCTGGTGTTTCTATGGAAAGAGAACTGAGGTTTGATCTGGAGTGTCTATTGAAAGTGAACTGAGGTTTGATGTGGTGTGTCTATGGAAAGTGAACTGAGGTTTGACCTGGTGTGTCTATTGAAAGTGATCTGAGGTTTGATCTGGTGTGTGAGGTTTGATCTGGTGTGTCTATTGAAAGTGATCTGAGGTTTGATCTGGTGTGTCTATGGAAAGGGAACTGAGGTTAGATCTGGTGTGTGATCTGGTGTGTCTATTGCAAGGGAACTGACGTTTGATCTGGTGTGTCTATTGAAAGTGAACTGGGGTTTGATCTGGTGTGTCTATGGAAAGGGAACTGAGGTTAGATCTGGTGTGTCTATGGAACTATTGAAAGTGAACTGAGGTTTGATCACCAATGGTGGGTCTATTGAAAGGGAACTGAGGTTTGATCCGGTGTGTCTATTGAAAGTGAACTAAGGTTTGATCTGGTGTGTCTATGGAAAGGGAACTGAGGTTAGATCTGGTGTGTGATCTGGTGTGTCTATTGCAAGGGAACTGACGTTTGATCTGGTGTGTCTATTGAAAGTGATCTGAGGTTTGATCTGGTGTGTGAGGTTTGATCTGGTGTGTCTATTGAAAGGGAACTGAGGTTTGATCCGGTGTGTCTATTGAAAGTGAACTAAGGTTTGATCTGGTGTGTCTATGGAAAGGCTATTGAAAGTGAACTGAGGTTTGATCTGGGGTGTCTATGGAAAGTGAACTGAGGTTTGATCTGGTGTGTCTATGGAAAGAAAACTGAGGTTTGATCTGGTGTGTCTATTGGAAGTGAACTGAGGTTTGATCTGGTGTGTCTATTGCAAGGGAACTGACGTTTGATCTGGTGTGTCTATTGAAAGTGAACTGAGGGTTGATCTGGTGTGTCTATTGAAACTGAACTGAGGTTTGATCTGGTGTGCCTATTGCAAGAGAACTGAGGTTTGATCTGGTGTGTCTATTGAAAGTGATCTGAGGTTTGATCTGGTGTGTCTATGGAAAGAAAACTGAGGTTTGATCTGGTGTGTCTATGGAAAGAAAACTGAGGTTTGATCTGGTGTGTCTATTGCAAGGGAACTGACGTTTGATCTGGTGTGTCTATTGAAAGTGATCTGAGGTTTGATCTGGTGTGTCTATGGAAAGAAAACTGAGGTTTGATCTGGTGTGTCTATGGAAAAGTGAACTGAGGTTTGATCTGGTGTGTCTATGGAAAGAAAACTGAGGTTTGATCTGGTGTGTCTATGGAAAGAAAACTGAGGTTTGATCTGGTGTGTCTATTGCAAGGGAACTGACGTTTGATCTGGTGTGTCTATTGAAAGTGATCTGAGGTTTGATCTGGTGTGTGAGGTTTGATCTGGTGTGTCTATTGAAAGGGAATTGAGGTTTGATCTGGTGTGTCTATTGAAAGTGATCTGAGGTTTGATCTGGTGTGTCTATGGAAAGAAAACTGAGGTTTGATCTGGTGTGTCTATTGAAAGTGATCTGAGGTTTGATCTGGTGTGTCTATGGAAAGAAAACTGAGGTTTGATCTGGTGTGTCTATGGAAAGAAAACTGAGGTTTGATCTGGTGTGTCTATTGCAAGGGAACTGACGTTTGATCTGGTGTGTCTATTGAAAGTGAACTGGGGTTTGATCTGGTGTGTCTATGGAAAGGGAACTGAGGTTAGATCTGGTGTGTCTATGGAACTATTGAAAGTGAACTGAGGTTTGATCTGGGGTGCCTATGGAAAGAGAACTGAGGTTTGATCTGGTGTGTTTATTGAAAGGGAACTGCGGTTTGATCTGGTGTGTCTATTGAAAGGGAATTGAGGTTTGATCTGGTGTGTCTATTGAAAGAGAACTGAGGTTTGATCTGGTGTGTCTATTGAAAGAGAACTGAGGTTTGATCTGGTGTGTTCATTGAAAGGGAACTGAGGTTTGATCTGGTGAGTCTATTGAAAGTGAACTGAGGTTTGATCTGGGGTGTCTATGGAAAGTGAACTGAGGTTTGATCTGGTGTGTCTATTGAAAGTGATCTGAGGTTTGATCTGGTGTGTCTATGGAAAGGGAACTGAGGTTTGATCTGGTGTGTCTATGGAAAGAAAACTGAGGTTTGATCTGGTGTGTCTGTGGAAAGGGAAATGAGATTTGATCTGTTATGTCTATGGAAAGGGAACTGAGGTTTGATCTGGTGTGTCTATGGAAAAGGAACTGAGGTTTGATCTGGTGTGTCTATGGAAAGGGAACTGAGGTTAGATCTGGTGTGTCTATGGAAAGAAAACTAAGGTTTGATCTGGTGTGTCTATGGAAAGGGAACTGAAGTTTGATCAAGAATGTGTGTATTGAAAAGGAACTGAGGTTTGGAAATAGACTGGTTTGATCAAGTTTGTGTATATGTGAAAGGAGATAGGGAATTTGTTTGATCCAGTGTATGTGTTTATATTTACTCCTTGTGTGTTGTGTTTGTGTGTGTTACAATGACAAGTGACTTGTTGTGGAGTCCCGGGTTGTGCTAGTTTCCTATATATCTTATACTGCCAGTAGACTTTCACATTGTGACATGCCTGCACACTAATCACTGGATAATTATTTTTAGAAATCAATAATAAGTTTGCCGTGCCTGTTTTGCAGTTGGCCAGTGATGGTATCAAACGAGACTTCTCACAGAGTTACCTCGACGAAGCCAGCTACACAATGGAGGTGAAAAATGGAACTGAAATTGTTGTACAGGTCAAGAAAACTCTGGGTTCTTACTTTGAGAAGAAAAAACTTGCTGCCCAGGTAATACTTCAGTAACATAATTCAAAATTGATCGTTTTCAAACTCCTTGAAAATATTACAGGAAGCACATGATTGACTTGGACATTTTATTTTTGATAATAGTACATTGTAATGGCTCAGTGATAGTATTTAACAATAAACTGTATATATCAGGGGTGCAGGGGTGGGGAGAGTGGGGTTATGGGGGCACAGCATCACACAAATCATTTTTATCGTCTCTAATTTTAGTTCTTTAAAGGTGTGAATTCCCTCCATCTACACGAGTGAATTAATACAATTCTATCAGTTGTATTTAGTCTGACATCAAAATATCTTGAAAAAAATTGAATGACAAATTGAATTGAATCAATTCCTTAAGCAGAGTATTGGTCCCCTACCACTGAGGCTGATTGGGGTGAAGGGAGGAAATATTGAGTTGTCAATTTGTGTGATAGGATGTCAATTGTTCTGTCCATCAATCCATCCGCCAATCTGTCCGCCAATCTGTCCATCAGTCTGTCCGCCAAAAGTTAACAGGAAAAATGAGCTTTCAGTCACAAGATTATTGTTCATTTAAATTGAACAAACAATAGACATGTATAGTTATGTACAACATTTAATTATCTACATCTTCTTCACTGATCATCACAACATATCATACAACATCCAACATTTAAATATCAAAATACATCATAATAAAATAAAAATAATTTGGCATGTGGGGTAGACTCAACTTAACACTTGCATTTTTAGCTCACCTGCCCGAAGGGCAAGTGAGCTTATGTTTTGATGCTGCATCCATCGTCCGTCCGTCCGTCCGTCCGTCTGTCCGGCGTCAACTTTTTGCTTTAAACAACTTTATCTCAATAACCAAATGGCCTAGGTAGATGATATTTGGCCAGTAGCATGCTGGGATCAAGGGCTACCAAGTTTGTTCAAATAAATGACCTTGACCCACTTTCAAGGTCACAGGGGTCAAATATGTTAAAATCTTCAAACAACTTCTTCTCAATAACCAAAAGGCCCAGGGTACTGATATTGGGCATGTAGCATGCTGGGATGAAGGGCTACCAAGTTTGTTCAAATGAATGACCTTGACCAACTTTCAAGGTCATTGGGGTCAGATGTCTTTAAAATCTTCATGCGACTTCTTCTCAATAACCAAAAGGCCCAGGGTACTGATATTGGACCTGTAGCATGCTGGGATGAAGGGTTACCAAGTTTGTTCAAATGATTGACCTTGACCCACTTTCAAGGTCACTGGTGTCAGATGTCTTTAAAATCTTCAAACAACTTCTTCTCAAAATTCGCGATTGATCGCCTTGGTATATGTTATTGTATTTGTGCAGGTTATCCTGCGACAGATACTGCATATAGGTGCAAAGATATAAACTGTAGCTGCGCAAACTTTGTTGCAACAGATTACTACATGTTCATATTGCATTGCAAACCTAAGCCCGAGGAGGAATAGCACCTTATATAGGAGCATTTATTTGTCGCTACCCCTTCGACTCAGACTGGTCAGCGCATGGGGCTTTGAACCAGATGTAGGCAGGGTAGCTATGTGACAAGTGTTAATTTGCCACTACCCCTTCGAAGACTGATTAGCACATTGAGCAGAGTAGCTATGTGACTTACTTTTAAATGAATTGTGTTCATAATTCCAAAATATAATTTATATATGAATATTTTTGGGGAAGTTTGAATGAGGAATGCCTCCCTCTTCGTATCTGAATGAAAACCAGGCTAAACAATATTGCAACTGAAAGATGAATCTACCCATTATTCGTATAATGTTTAAATTGATAATAATATGAATCAATGTCCTTATACCTTATATAGCCATTATATATATTTGAGAAATATTCTTCCGTACATTTTCAACCATTACTTTGCCTTTATCTCTTATATGTTAACAGGTGAGTGGGGGNGTAGCGTGATTTTCAAAGACAAAGATTGTGACGTCTTTCTGCTACAGAGCCTGTGAAAACAATGACCAACTATACCCCAACCAATCAGAATGCTCTAAAGCGGTTGATCTATATTTAGGATTGCCTAACACTACATATCATATTACATGTTTACCTTACACTATATATGATCACATCGGTACCTAATAAACATGAAGTTCTTAGTTTATATGAATAGTTCTGTAAGTTCTATACATTGTACTCCCTAAATAATTCTTTCAAATTATGATTTGTAGTCAGTATAAAATTATTTGTTCTTTTAAACCTGGCTTATTTACATCAGGCTTAAATAAAGAAGAACCAGTTTAGATAGTTCACCCGTTACTGTTCTTAGAGGCCACTTGTGTAATTTGGATTGATCAGGATTGTTTACTACAGCCGAGGGCTACATAGACACACAGGGGTCATACAGACACACAGAGGTCATACAGACACACAGGGGTCATACTGACACACAGAGGTCATACAGACACAATTAGCAAAAGAAAAATCACGATCTATTCACTGCCTCTGCTGTTTTGGTTATAGGGTGAGACAAATGTCGTGATTCTGTACTACTTGGAGTGAACAGGACTACTATTTACCATATGTGATAGCTAGGACATTTCACTAGCGTGCTTTAAAACTGTATTAAACCTGCTTTAACCCTACAGGCTTATAATGTACGAAGATAACTTGATAACCTTTAAACATTTATTTATTCTCTAGAGCAATCTAGGGAAATATCAAAGAGCAGATTTTTATTAATTTTGAGATGATGACTTTATGACATAGAATATCTGAGAAATGTTTGTCAGTGTCTGTGGATGGAGATGATGAATTCTTAACAATAGTCATTTTATCAATAAAGTGTGCTTTATCAAATCCAACAGAACCTAGCTGCTAGCCTTATTGCTTTCTGATTTATTTTGATTTATATGCTATACCCTCTCCCATGATGTTCTAACAAAGTCTGCACAGACTGTATGAAAAGTTCTTGAATTTTCTAGTCCTTTGAATTTGAATAATTTCAAAAATTACTTTATTTAAGATCACTGGCCATATACAATTTGTCCCCCACCTACTTACAGCATGTTACAGCATTTGGGGGAGAGAACCTAGACCTAACCAAATTATTGTGTGGCACAACACATGACCTTAAAATGTCTTTTACCCTACCAGTTTATTTTCTGAACTGGTATCCTTGGTAACTGAAGACACTACCATTTTACTGTCTTATGACCCTACATGGCTTTATCATGTTGATCGGCTTTTTTTTTTCAGAGATTAAGGTGCAAAGTGAAGAAAATATATCACCTTGATTTGACCTTGTGTTTCAGAGGTTACAGGACAAGGTGAAGGAAATGTAAGACCTTGAGTTAACTATTTGTTTCACAGTTTAACAGACAAGGTTAAGGAAAAGTATGACCTTGAGCTTACCATGTGTTTCAGAGGTAAGCAGACAAGATGAAGAAAATGTATGACCTTTATTTGACATTGCGTTTCAGAGGTTAGCAGACAAGGTGAAGGAACTCTATGACAATTTTATGAACCTGAATATGACTGGCCCCTTCGTGGACAGTCTACCACTGCTGGACAGGAAGCATTACAGAGACTCCGATATCCCAGGCACCCTTCCAAGTGACCTCACGTTTGTCCCGTAAGCAGGCCTTTCCTTACTTATCCAGTAAACAATCAAAAGTTGATCAATACAGTTGTTTATGTATGAAATTGATAACCTTTCTGCAACTGCTTTTCATGCTTGAATACATTCTTTTCAAATACTGACTTACTTTCAAAATCTTCATATTTGTTTCTGTCATGGCGTCGTTGATTTAATACATAAAGAAATGGAAAGATGCTCTGAAGCTGTAATAGAACTTCAGTTAGAAAACAAACTACAATTGCATTATGTTTTTCGATTGAAGTCTGAGTTTTGTCACTTGGGAGTATTTTATTTCAATTATTCACTGTCAGATATGTCTATCATGCCATGTAGACCTGTTATTTTTTCATAGTTGTAACAACATAGTCATGAAAATATTATAAAGAACATCATCTGAAATAATCCTCTTTAGACAACGTAACATGGACTGTTCTTTCCGTAGGAACTTTCGACAGAAGGTTGCCTGGAGTCAGTCAACGGTAAAGATTGCTGACGAGGTCCCAAGAGGGGCCACTTCTACCATCAACTCTATCTATTACACATCTGCCCTCGACGAGGTCTTCAAGAAAAACAAAGCTGAGGATGAATCACTCAGGTACTACATCTTATGATATCTGTAGGGTAGCTCACTCAGGTACTACAGCTTATGATATAAGTAGGTTAGCTCACTAAGGTACTACAGCTTATGATATCTGTAGGGTAGCTCACTCAGGTACTATAACTTGTGATATGTGTAGGTTAGCTCACTCAGGTACTATAACTTATGATATCTGGAGGGTAGCTCACTCAGGTACTACAACTTGTGATATCTGTAGGGTAGCACAATCAGGTACTATATCTCATGATATCTGACGGGTAGCTCACTCAGGTACTATAACTGATGATATCTGTAGGGTAGCTCACTCAGGCACTATAACTTGTGATATCTGTAGTGGAGCTCACTCAGGAACTATCACTTATGATCTCTATAGGGGAGCTCACTCAGGTACTATAACTTGAGATATCTGTAGGGTAGCTCACTCAGGGACTATAACTTGGGATATCTGTAGGGTAGCTCACTCACGTACTATAACTTATGATATCTGTAGCGTAGCTCACTCAGGTACTACATCTTATGGTATCTGTAGGGTAGCTCACTCAGGTGCTATAACTTGTGATATCTGTAGGGCAGCTCACTCAGGTACTACATCTTATGGTATCTGTAGGGTAGCTCACTCAGATACTATAACTTTTGATATCTGTAGGGTAGCTCACTCAGGGACTATAACTTGTGATAGCTGTCGGGTAGCTCACTCAGGTACTACAACTTGTGATATCTGTAGGGTAGCTCACACAGGTACTACATCTTATGATATCTGTTGGGTAGCTCACTCAGGTACTACAACTTGTGATATCTGGAGGGTAGCTCACTCAGGTACTATAACTTGAGATATCTGTAGGGTAGCTCACTCAGGGACTATAACTTATGATATCTGTAGGTTGTCTCTCTTAGGTACTATAACTTTGGATATCTGTAGGGTAGCTCACTCAGGTGCTATAACTTGTGATATCTGTAGGGTAGCGCACTCAGGTACTACAGCTTAGGATATCTGTAGGGTAGCTCACTCACGTACTATAACTTATGATATCTGTAGGGGAGCTCACTCAGGTACTAAAGCTTATGATATCTGTAGGGTAGCTCCCTCAGGTACTACAGCTTATGATATCTGTAGGGTAGCTCCCTCAGGTACTATAACTTGTGATATTTGTAGGGTAGCTCACTCAGGTACTACAACTTGTGATATCTGTAGGGTAGCACAATCAGGTACTATATCTCATGATATCTGACGGGTAGCTCACTCAGGTACTATATCTTATGATATCTGTAGGGTAGTTCACTCAGGTACTACATCTTATGGTATCTGTAGGGTAGCTCACTCAGCTACTATAACTTATGATATCTGTACGGTAGCTCACTCAGGTACTATAACTTGTGATATCTGTAGGGTAGCTCAATCAGGTACTATATCTCATGATATCTGTAGGGTAGCTCACTCAGGTACTATAACTTGTGATATCTGTAGGGTAGCTCACTCAGGAACTATCACTTATGATATCTATAGGGTAGCTCACTCAGGTACTAAAGCTTATGATATCTGTAGGGTAGCTCCCTCAGGTACTACAGCTTATGATATCTGTAGTGTAGCTCACTCAGGTACTACATCTTATGATGTCTGTAGGGTAGCTCACTCAGGTACTCTAACTTGTGATATCTGTAGGGTAGCTCAATCAGGTACTATATCTCATGATATCTGACGGGTAGCTCACTCAGGTACTATAACTTGTGATATCCGTAGGGTAGCTCACTCAGGAACTATCACTTGTGATATCTATAGGGTAGCTCACTCAGGTACTAAAGCTCATGATATCTGTAGGGTAGCTCACTCAGATACTATAACTTCTGATACCTGTAGGGTAGCTCACTCAGGTACTAAACCTTATGATATATGTAGGGTAGCTCACTCAGGTACTATATCTTATGATATCTGTAGGGTAGCTCCCTCAGGTACTACATCTTATGATATCTGTAGGGAAGCTCACTCAGGTAATACATCTTATGATATCTGTAGGGGAGCTCACTCAGGTACTATAACTTGTGATATCTGTAGGGTAGCTCAATCAGGTCCTATATCTCATGATATCTGTAGGGTAGCTCACTAAGGTACTATAACTTGTGATATCTGTAGAGTAGCTCACTCAGGTACTATAACTTATGATATATGTAGGGTAGCTCACTCAGGTACTAAACCTTATGATATATGTAGGGTAGCTCACTCAGGAACTACATCTTATGATATCTGTAGGGTAGTTCACTCAGGTACTACATCTTATGATATATGTAGCGTAGCTCACTCAGGGACTACATCTTATGATATCTGTTGGGAAGCTCACTCAGGTACTACAGCTTATGACATCTGTAGGGTAGCTCACTCAGGTACTATAACTTGTGATATCTGTAGAGTAGCTCACTCAGGTACTATAACTTATGATATATGTAGGGTAGCTCACTCAGGTACTATAACTTATGATATATGTAGGGTAGCTCACTCAGGTACTATAACTTGAGATATCTGTAGGGTAGCTCACTCAGGGACTACATCTTATGATATCTGTAGGGCCGCTCACTCAGGTACTACAGCTTATGACATCTGTAGGGTAGCTCACTCAGGTACTATATCTTATGATATCTGTAGGGTAGCTCACTAAGGTACTATAACTTGTGATATCTGTAGAGTAGCTCACTCAGGTACTATAACTTATGATAGCTATTGGGTAGCTCACTCAGGTACTAAAAATTATGATATCTGTAGGGTAGCTCACTAAGGTACTATAACTTGTGATATCTGTAGGGTAGCTCAATCAGGTACTATATCTCATGATATCTGACGGGTAGCTCACTCAGGTACTATAACTTATGATATATGTAGGGTAGCTCACTCAGGAACTACAGCTTATGATATCTGTAGGGTAGCTCACTCAGGTACTATAGTTTAGTCTGTAGTGTATATCACTCAGGTAATATAGCTTAATCTGTAGGGTAGCAACATATCTTTATGGTCATACCTAAATATTTTGATAGTAAACTGCAGCTTTTTTAGGTCACCTGAGCTTTAGCTCAAGTGACCTATGCTATCCGTCTTCGTCCGTCGTTGTCCGTTGTCCGTCGTCCGTCGTCCATCGTCCATCGTCCGTCGTCCGTTAACATTTTACATTTTCAACTTAAGCTGAAATTCTGGCAAAGGGATGTCATTAATATTTCATGGGAAGGTTACTGACATCTCCCTGACGAAGTGTTGTTATTTTTCGGGTTGATCAGAAATCCAATACGGCCGCCACAGCCGCCATTTTGAAAAACTATTTCAAACTTAAAGTCAAGTTCTACTTGGCCGATTGAACTGAAACTTTGTAGGAATGATCGACTCATGGTCCTTACAAAGTTTTGTTATTTTTCGGGTCGATCAGAAATACAATTTGGCTGCCATGGCCGGTATTTTGAAAATACCTATTTCAAACTTAAAAACAAGTTTTAATAGGCCGATCTAACTGAAAATCGGTCTAGGAATGATCAGCTCATGGTCCTGACAAACTTAAGTTTACGTTATACTTTTTACTCAAATTGGTACATATTTCAACAACAAAAATAAATACTGTAGGACTCAGGTGACTGTTAAGGCCATGGGCCTCTTGTTTAATTTTCAATCAGGTATCCAAGTTTTGCCTATTTTCAAGGCTGTCTTATTTTTGAATTCATTTTGACAATAAGCCATTATTTTGAGATTTTGATTTTCCTGGGACTGTTTGTTGTAAGTCTTAAATTTATGTTACTTTTTTCTCCAATAGGTGGCAGTATTTTGGTTCTTCAGATGGTCTTGTGAGAATATATCCCGGCCGGGAGTGGTCGACAAATTTCGCTGGGTTTTACAACGATTATGATCCACGTGTTCGTCCCTGGTATATTGCTGCTACAAGTGGTCCCAAGGACGTTGTCATCATCCTAGACTGTAGGTCAGTACAGCGCATGTCTGAACATTGCTCAGATCGTTCTTATCTTTTGGTAGTGCTTTTGAATACATGTACAACCATGTACTGTATAGCTGTTATATTTCGCAGGAATTTTAATTTTGCTATATTCGCGCTTTCACTAATATCCGCGAATTCTAAACACCAGCGAAATTATTGAAAATGTTAACCACTTTTACGAACTTATCACAACATGTTGAAAATACTTATAATCCAACGCTGTTATGCAAGCTTAAATGAACTCAAATCATATTATCTATCAAGTGAAGTCACGGGCAGATGACGACACTCTGGATCAGTGTTTTCAAACGGTTTACCTGTATTTCGAGGGTTAACCCTAAAATGATGACACTCAAAATACTTTGCACGACACATGGGATTCGGGTGCACAGTGAAATTGAACCCCCACGAATATAATGAAATTTTAGGATTATATTGCCTTTGATCTGCCAGGGTAGTCAGGTTTATCTCAACTGGATAAGAAAGTATATGGATGTGTTAAATTTGTGTATAAATGTTACCAGAAAAATAGTGAAGGAGTCAGTGCAAAATAGAGCTATTCTTTGCATGTTCATGTACTGTGTAGCAAACATTTCTGGGGAAAATTATCCCATTTTTGGCTCAATATCAGGAAATCTGCAGGTTTGAATCATGAGCTACTGGTAACTATATAGTTTTGTCCTTCAGTTTGTATAATGTTCAACCAGTATAAATAAACATGTGAACAGAAACTCACTATCAGAAGGGCAAACATTTGCAGGGTTTCAAATTCTGATATTTAAAAAAAAATTCAGGCTGCAAAAATACAAACCACTGCAAACAATGAGAGCTGTACAGTATTTCAAATTAATCAGAGAGACAGACTGTCAATATTGAAAAGGTGCTTGAAATATTAGATTTGATTTTCGTACCATTTTCAGCTTGTCGATGGCTGGTGAGAAGTTTGCCATTGCTAAGGGTGTGGCTAAAACTGTGATCAACACACTCACCAAGCAGGACTACGTCAGCTTGATCTGTGCTCGGGCTAGTCATTGGGACGAAGTTGGAAAGTGAGTCAACTAGATCACCAAACATTTCAAACCAAAGATCTAGAAATCCATAATGAATACAATTGTACTATTACAAAGAAAAATTCAGTCTTTATTTTCACCTTACCCAGTATTTTTGGGCTTTGAACAGGAGGGCATCATTACCAAAGAGTTGCAAATTTTGACTGGCTTTTTTTAGATTTTTTGTTTCAGCAAGTTAAATCTGAATGAATGGATAAATTCAACATCAAGCAGTAACATTTCTAATTACACTTATCAGGGACAGCAATCATTATGCTGAAAAGGAAGTTGAGTCTTCAAATAAAAAAAATCAGCAGAATTTAAACATTACAAAATACAACCAAACTTTAGGCTACTACACATCCTTAAAAGGCCTTCATATATAGCTGTTAATAGGACGGTAAACAAAATACAATCAAACTTTAGGCTACTACACATCCTTAAACAAACTTCATATATAGCTGTTAATAGGACGTTAAACAAAATACAACCAAACTTAAGGCTACTACACATCCTTAAAAGGCCTTCATATATAGCTGTTGATAGGACGTTAAAAAAAATACAGCCAAACTTTAGGCTACTACACATCCTTAAAAGGCCTTCATATATAGCTGTTAATAAGCCGTTAGTCTTCAAATAAAAAAAATCAGCAGAATTTAAACATTACAAAATACAACCAAACTTTAGGCTACTACACGTCCTTAAAAGGCCTTCATATATAGCTGTTAATAAGCCGTTAGTCTTCAAATAAAAAAAATCAGCAGAATTTAAACATTACAAAATACAACCAAACTTTAGGCTACTACACATCCTTAAACAACCTTCATATATAGCTGTTAATAGGACGTTAAACAAAATACAACCAAAATTTAGGCTACTACACATCCTTAAAAGGCCTTCATATATAGCTGTTAATAGGACGGTAAACAAAATACAATCAAACTTTAGGCTACTACACGTCCTTAAAAGACCTTTATATATAGCTGTTAATAGGACGTTAAACAAAATACAATCAAACTTTAGGCTACTACACGTCCTTAAAAGACCTTTATATATAGCTGTTAATAGGACGTTAAACAAAATACAACCAAAATTTAGGCTACTACACATCCTTAAAAGGCCTCCATATATAGCTGTTAATAGGACGTTAAACAAAATAGAACCAAACTGTAGGCTACTACACGTCCTTAAAAGACCTTTATATATAGCTGTTAATAGGACGTTAAACAAAATAGAACCAAACTGTAGGCTACTACACGTCCTTAAAAGACCTTTATATATAGCTGTTAATAGGACGTTAAACAAAATACAACCAAAATTTAGGCTACTACACATCCTTAAAAGGCCTCCATATATAGCTGTTAATAGGACGTTAAACAAAATACAACCAAACTTAAGGCTACTACACATCCTTAAAAGGCCTTCATATATAGCTGTTAATAGGACGGTAAACAAAATACAATCAAACTTTAGGCTACTACACGTCCTTAAAAGACCTTTATATATAGCTGTTAATAGGACGTTAAACAAAATACAACCAAACTTAAGGCTACTACACATCCTTAAAAGGCCTTCATATATAGCTGTTGATAGGACGTTAAACAAAATACAGCCAAACTTTAGGCTACTACACATCCTTAAAAGGCCTTCATATATAGCTGTTAATAGGACGTTAAACAAAATACAATCAAACTTTAGGCTACTACACATCCTTAAAAGACCTTCATATATAGCTGTTAAAAGGACGTTAAACAACATACAACCAAACTTTAGGCTACTACAAATCTTACCGATTAATTAAATGTAGCTCAAAACCTGCATCCGGGAACTTATTTTAGATGTTAATTAATATATGGTCCTGTTTTAGGTGGAAGTATTTTTCAACTAATGTGTTGAGTTGTCAGACTGAGAGTCTGGTCCCAGCGACCATTGCTCATCGGAAGGATCTGATAGAGAAGATACAGAAGCTGAAGGCTGGTGGTACCAGTGAGTTGGAGTGAGTATTACAACCAGTTAGCCCAGTCACCCCCAAAGTCACATTTGAACCTTAACAAATCAAAGACTGGGCAAGTCTAGTTTAAACATGTAGGGGTGAATGAGTGTGAAGGTTGAAGGATTACAGACAAATCTGGGCGACAGAATACCCATTCTGGGTGGTCACTATCTACAGAGAGTCTGTAATTAGGTCACATGTACAGGTCAAAGGAAGAAAGATCTTTGAACCTAAAGGGTGGGAGTTATTTGATGTAACAAGGTTGGGAATCTTTGAGTTCAAGGAATGAGGAACACAATTGAAATCAATTGCTTGGAGATATAAATGAGGTAACAGGGTCAGACATTTATATGGTCACAGACTGAGGATTTTGAGGTCAAGTTTGATGGATCGATGAGGTCATAGGATGGGGAGAATGCTTAGAGGTCAAAGAATGAGAAATCATAGAGGTAAAACAATTGGAGATATACCAGGTAAAAGGGTGAGGGTTCTATAAGGTCACAGGATGAGGATTTTTGAAATTTCAGTGAGGTCAAAGGTTTGTGGGGTGGGTGGGTAGGGGGTGGGGGGTGGGGGGGGTGGGGTGAAGATCGCTAGGTGTATGAAGTCACATCTCGGTGAGGTCACAGGATGTATGACCTGTGTGATAAAATAGTCATTGAGGGATCTCTGAGGTCACAGGATGTATGACTGTGTGATAAAATAGTCATTGGGGGATCTCTGAGGTCACAGGATGAATGACCTGTGTGATAAAATAGTCATTGGGGGATCTCTGAGGTCACAGGATGTATGACTGTGTGATAAAATAGTCATTGGGGGATCTCTGAGGTCACAGGATGAATGACCTGTGTGATAAAATAGTCATTGGGGGATCTCTGAGGTCACAGGATGTATAACCTGTGTGATAAAATATTCATTGGGGGATCTCTGAGGTCACAGGATGTATGACTGTGTGATAAAATAGTCATTGGGGGATCTCTGAGGTCACAGGATGTATGACCTGTGTGATAAAATAGTCATTGAGGGATCAGAGGTCACAGGATGTATGACCTGTGTGATAAAATATTCATTAGGGGATCTCGGAGGTCACAGGATGTATGACCTGTGTGATAAAATATTCATTAGGGGATCTCGGAGGTCACAGGATGAATGACCTGTGTGATAAAATAGTCATTGAGGGATCAGAGGTCACAGGATGTATGACCTGTGTGAAAAATAGTCATTGGGGGATCTCTGAGGACACAGGATGTATGACCTGTGTGATAAAATATTCATTGGGGGATCTCTGAGGTCACAGGCTGTATGACCTGTGTGATAAAATAGTCATTGAGGGATCTCTGAGGTCACAGGATGTATGACTGTGTGATAAAATAGTCATTGGGGGATCTCTGAGGACACAGGATGTATGACCTGTGTGATAAAATATTCATTAGGGGATCTCGGAGGTCACAGGATGTATGACCTATGTGATAAAATAGTCATTGGGGGATCTCTGAGGACACAGGATGTATGACCTGTGTGATAAAATAGTCATTTGGGGATCTCTGAGGTCACAGGATGTAACACCTGTGTGATAAAATAGTCATTGAGGGATCAGAGGTCACAGGATGTATGACCTGTGTGATAAAATATTCATTAGGGGATCTCGGAGGTCACAGGATGTATGACCTATGTGATAAAATAGTCATTGGGGGATCTCTGAGGACACAGGATGTATGACCTGTGTGATAAAATAGTCATTGAGGGATCTCTGAGGTCACAGGATGTATGACATGTGTGATAAAATAGTCATTGGGGGATCACTGAGGTCACAGGATGAATGACCTGTGTGATAAAATAGTCATTGAGGGATCTCTGAGGTCACAGGATGTATGACATGTGTGATAAAATAGTCATTGGGGGATTTCTGAGGTCACAGGATGTATGACCTGTGTGAAAAATAGTCATTGGGGGATCTCTGAGGACACAGGATGTATGACCTGTGTGATAAATCATTCCTTGGGGAATATCTGAGGTCACAGGATGTATAACCTGTGTGATAAAATATTCATTGGGGGATCTCTGAGGTCTCAGGATGTATGACTGTGTGATAAAATAGTCATTGGGGGATCTCGGAGGTCACAGGATGTATGACCTATGTGATAAAATAGTCATTGGGGGATCTCGGAGGTCACAGGATGTATGACCTGTGTGAAAAATAGTCATTGGGGGACCTCTGAGGTCACAGGATGTATGACCTGTGTGGTAAAATAGTCATTGGGGGATCTCGGAGGTCACAGGATGTATGACCTATGTGATAAAATAGTCATTGGGGGATCTCGGAGGTCACAGGATGTATGACCTGTGTGATAAAATAGTCATTGAGGGATCAGAGGTCACAGGATGTATGACCTGTGTGAAAAATAGTCATTGGGCGATCTCTGAGGTCACAGGATGTATGACCTGTGTGATAAAATATTCAAAGATACAAGTGGAAGTTAATGACATTACTTCAAAAAGACCTTCCTAAATTCTGGATGAATATTAGTCAGTGTAACTTGAGGCCTGTAACATTTTGTCTTTCCTCAGGAAGGGTTTTGACATTGCGTATGACTTGCTGACGGGTAATGCAAGGACAGGATGTCAATCCCTCATAGTGTTTGCCACTGACGGCCAGGAAATGGACGGAGAAAACGTCCGGTGTGGTCCAGGTAGGTGTTCTAGACAACAGTATAGCTCTTACCACTGTCTTGTGTTAAATAAAGATGGTTTTAAAAATGTTTTACAAATATTCTGCTAGCAGAAGTGCCCATGACACGTTGTGATTGACAGGATATAGATTACTGAAGCTGTTCCTACACTTTGAAGTTTCTATCACAAGTGATGTGTGCCTCTAGGTTTTCATCCATGTGAAAACATTTTAGCCGCCATTCGTGTATGAGCGCATATAATTCTTGTTCGCTGGGTATTCAACAAATTGACCAAATATAACCAATATTCAGTTCTTACTCGGGTTTGAATTTTAAAATGTTAAGGTCACTAGGTAGTGTAGAATGAGCATTTATCACATGTTTTCAAATGTAAACCACAACTAGCCAATGAGCCAATGACTTGGATCACTTGCTGAATAACAAGCAATACAGTGAGATTAGTTAATTCCTTTAGGACAGTTCTAGTTGTGTTTTTCATTTATATTTGCTATAGTCTTTCTTCATGAAGTAACAGATAAATATGTATCTTGTGAAATGGAGTAGATTTACTCAAGTGTAGTGAAGATGTGTTGTGTTTGTTTGACCAGGGTACTACACTAGGAGCGGGTATGTGCCAGGGCCCGTCTGTAAATATAACTGGACCAAAGTTTTCTCTGTGGCCGACGAGAAGAGGAAGTATGCCCGTCCAGAGGTAAGATTAGTTGTATTACTATAACAAACAGCAAATTGTATCATCATAATTCTGACAGGAAACTGTTAACCTAACCTAGATCGATGAACACTTATTCTAAGTCTTTATTTTTCCCAGGCCGGATTTCATCAAGTCTGTTTGTCATTCTGTCCTGTGTTTTGGTTATGGCTGTAAATTTTTAACAGCTTCTTATCATTTTATGAACATATACCTGTGCAGTTTATATCAGTGTAACAAAATGTTGTACTTCCAATGTAATGTGATCACACGAAGATCCATTAGAACACCTCACAACTTCACTGGCAATCACTGCTGATGCATGTACCAGGTGGTTGGATTGTGCAGTGGAAATATGGCTAGGGTTTGATTCTTCCATTCGATGTAAAAAGGTATTGTGTCAAACTTAGTTGAGGCCTGTTTGGGGGTGGGGGTGGAGGTAGGGGTGTGAGGGGGTGGTAGCTGACTGTATGCACATACTTCCAACTTTTTGAAATTTCCATGGGGGAGGTTCTGCATGCTCAAAATTCAAACGTTAATAAAATGTGTGCATACACCCCCTAGAGACAAAGTAACCCTTTAAAATGATATAATTTGAGTTGTATTTTCAGATGAAATCATTAGATCTTAGAAAATAGGAGCAGTTTAGCACTTTCACTGGTTGAAAATACTAAATTTAAGGGTCCAAAATCAGGAGTCTCCCTTCTAAATAGGGAGGGTTGGCAAGTATGTGTGTAATTCTTTGTATGTATGTCTGGGAGAGATAAGGTGGGAACAGCC